CCCACCCCCCACCCATGTTAGTTCACAGCAGGCGGCTGCTGAAAAACTGGAGAGTTCTAAATCCTAAACATCCAGATGTTTGACCTCGTTCGCTGGTGACGACCAGACCAGACACGTGAATTTTTTTTTTTTACACCGAGGCGGCGGCGTCACCTCGACTCGTTGGAAGCCACCAATGAAAACTCCAGGACCCGGTTTGGATCCAGTGAAGGTCAAATGTTGTTAAACTGTGACCTGACTTCACACAGAAACGGTAAACACGGTCGTCTGCGACTTGTTAACCAGGTCGCGGCGAGGCTTTTAATATGTAAACCACGGCGTGAACTTTGTGCAGTTTTTTTTTTATTTTTTTTTATTTCAGGTCGGTCCAGTCCTCACGTGTCGTTAAATGACGACGGCTTTTTTTTTTTCATCTGGAAACAAATTTCAGGTCGGTCCAGTTCGTCAGTCCTCACGTGTCGTTAAATGACAACGGCTTTTTTTTTTTCATCTGGAAACACGTTTCAAACTCAAGGCCCGTGGGCCAAATTTGGCCCGTCACATCATTTTATGCGGTCCACCTGGGCTTTAGGGACCGGAGCCACTTGTCTGCGGACCCTGGTCCAGAACCTGACACTCAGACTCCACGTTTCCCTCTCTTTCAGGTCAGTGTACGGTGAAGCTGCAGCCTCTGCCCTGTGAGCCGTCCGAAAAACAAATACTGTCGGTGGAAAGGTCAGAGAAAAAACTGCAAACTGTTACATCACAGATTTTTAGGTTTAAAAAAAAAAAAAAAAAAAAAAAAAGTTCCTGGGCTCAGGTCTGAGGTCAGTTAAACTGGAGGAGCTGGTTCTCCTGTGTTCACACTCTGGGACAGGTAACAGTTCCAGGAACAGTTACGTCACTTTCTCAACATTTAACGTTGGATCTTTTGACTGATTTGAATCATTTGAAGGAAAAACTGCTGGGTTTTTTTTTAAATTTATTTTATGTCACGTCTTCACGAATGTGAAAATCAGCGTTTACTTTGGATAGAACTTTTTTTTTTTTTCACAGTATTTGTACTTCTATTGTAGTGAAACAGTTCAATCCGTTCCCAAAGTTCCTGGAACTTTATTTTCCATCGTACACACGTGATAATGCAATTAATTTCCCACTGAATTTTTCACTAAACAAAATTATCGTCCCACGTATTTATCGCGGATTTCACCAGCCAGGAGGGGGCGCTCCAGGCCGATGTGCGGTCGGCCGAGGAGATCCGATCCGAGGCGGAATACCAGCTGAATGTGTGGAAAGGATTCCTCATCTGTATTCCCTACTCGTCCAGTATCGGCGGGACGGCGACGCTCACCGGTACGGCCCCCAACCTCATCATGATTGGTCAGCTGAAAAGGTAACGTTTCTGCACCGGCGGCGTTTGAAGAAGAAACAACGTAACTTTTTCGCTGCAGTCTGACGGAGACGGAGCTTTGATTTTCCAGCTACTTCCCAGACTGTGACATCATCAACTTCGGCTCCTGGTTCGCCTTCGCCTTCCCTCTGATGGTCATCTTCCTGTTCGTGGGATGGCTGTGGATCGCGTATCTCTATGGAGGACTGAACACACGGTAACATGACGGCGTAACGTAAAACACTGGAAGTCACGCGCAAAACAATCACCATATATGATATACATATAACATATATATGGTCAATATACTGTATATATGTCTTATCATTAGGCTTTAAAAAAAATCTCTCAAAAAACTTTTTGTTCTTTGCGTGCCGTCCAGTACTTGATCTGTGGCCCAGTACTGGTCCCCAGGCCAGATGTTGGTGACCTCTATCTTGTGTATATTTTGTTGCAAATATATGCATTTTTTTTAGTCTTACAACTTAACAAGGGGACGTCCAAAAGTTCTGAGACAAGTTAATCCTAATTAAAACCAAAAGCCAAACCCTGCTGTCAAACCCGTGGAACCCGGCCCATCACAGGGCCATAGAGAAAGTGAAACCACAATTCACACTCACATTTACAGATTCAGAGTGAACAGTCAACCTCTCTATATATATTTACATATATAAATATATACATATATTTACATATAAACTTTCCTTCTTCTTTTTTTTCTTTTTTTTATGCAGACTGTGCTTCAAGAGGCAGGACCACAGAGCGCAGGCCGAGGCCAGAGCCAGGGCCATGATCGAGGAGGACTACAGGAAACTAGGGCCCATAAAGTGAGGACTCGTGTATGTCGTCAAATCAAAGTCAAAGTCGGTGACGCCGTTCGTGGTCATCGAAGACCAAACTCTCAGAGTGTTTTTTCTTCTTTCTTCTTCTTCCTCTCCAGCTTTGCTCAAGGATCCATCGCTTTCTTTTTCGTCCTGTTCTCTGTCCTCCTCTTCACGCGGGATCCAAAGTTTGTCACCGGCTGGTCGGTGTTCTTCAAGAAGGGGTGAGAAACGTTCAGTTCGTTACTTATCTCTAAAAAGATCAAAGAAACCAAAAGTCTGTTGACGTGGACGTGGACGTGTCCCCTCTTCTCAGGTACGTCTCGGACGCCGTCACAGGTGTGATCATCGTCTCCGTGTTGTTCTTCTTCCCCTCGCAGAAACCTTCCCTGCGCTGGTGGCTCGACCCTAAAGGTCAGTGAGTTGAACTGCACCGCGTTAAAGAGGAATTAAGATCCTGAAGTTCCAGCAGCTGAGGCTGAGAATTCACCTCAGGAATGTTAATACGTGAAAACAGTCGTTCCTCTGTTGGAAATAAGCTGCTGCTCCTGGTCCTGGTCCAGGTCCAGGTCCAGGTCCAGGTCCTGGTCCAGGTCTTATACTTCCTGAATGGTGTCACGTTTGTGCACAAGTGTGTGTATGTGTATGTGTATGTGTGTGTGCATGTGTGGTCAGCTGGTAAAACAAACTGTTGGAGACGAACCAGGAAACAACCTATGGCTCCTGAGCCACATGTGGCACCGTTCGTATCGACTCCACCTACAGCGGGGAAGGGAATTGACCCACATTTAATATTTATGTTACTTTGTAGAATATACTGTACATATATAATATATATTTATGCATTCATTTCTACTGTAGTAGTAACGGCTGTACTCATACATTACTTTGTAGCTGCAGCGACTGCTGACATGTTACTGAAATGTTCTCCCCCCCCTCCCCCCCCCCAGCCTCAAACACTCCGTACGTCCCTCTGTTGTCATGGAAGAAAGCCCAGGACTCTGTTCCCTGGAACATTATTCTCCTGCTCGGAGGCGGCTTCGCTATGGCCAAGGCTTGTGAGGTGACGACGATGGACATTTATTTTGTTTTATTTAATCATCGTTTTAAAATGAAGTCTCTTGTGGTTGAGGAGGGGGGAGGGGGAGAGTGAGGGGGAGGGGTTCTCAGGTTCTCATTAACAGAACTATATTTCAACACGAAAGAAATATTTCTGTAGTGAAAGTGAAGTCTTTAAATGGACACTGTCTGTCAAAAGACAATATATATGTACTGTACATATACACACACATATACATATATACACACATATATATGTATGTGTCCTCCGTCCTCTGTCCTCATATACAGTATATATGACATATATACACAAAATCACAGCCAGGAGAACCAGAAAGTGTCCTCCGTCCTCCGTCCTCTGTCCTCCGTCCTCTGTCCTCTGTCCCCTCCCCACCGTCACGTCTCCTTTCTTCCACGTTCTGTTTGGTTCTGTGCTCCATTCCCAAATTTATTTTGATGTGGTTTGACCTCTGACCTCTAGTCCCCCTCACCACCCCCCCCGCTCTTGTGTCCTTTGGCAGGAGTCCGGCCTGGCCTCCTGGATCGGGGGCCACCTCCAACCTTTGGCCGAGGTCCCCCCCGCCGCAGCTGTGATGCTGATCACGGCGTTCCTGGCCACGTTCACCGAGTTCGCCAGCAACACGGCCACCATTATTATATTTCTGCCCGTCATCGCCGAGCTGGTGAGTCATCGCTAACATCTCAGATTATCTTGTGTTCCTGCTGCGGGGCAGATGGGCGCAGGTCAGCAGGTCAATAGGTCAGCAGGTCGGTCCCGCCCCAGGCTCAGTGGACTCTCCGCCTGCAGTGAAGGCCGTCGTGTTATGAGCTTGTTCAGCAGCGTCAGTATGTGTCGCTCTGTTTGTCGTCTGTCGGACATTAACTGCTGCTGTCAGTAATTATTGTCGGAGTCTGTGAACTTTGCGTCGAGACTACGATCCATTTGAACAATCTTTGACGAGGCGGCGTCGTATAAATGCTAGGTAAACATTTAAAGACCCGCGTTGGCGACTTCTTCCCAGAAATGTTCGTACGTCAGCTACGATGCTAATCTGCTCCAGTCACCGCGACCTGGACCTGGACCTGGACCTGGACCTGGACCTGGACCCAGGGTTAATTTGGAAAATTCTTCTTCCTCTTCTTTTCTTCTTCTTCAGGTTTAATTGGAAAAGAAAATTCTTCTTCTTCTTCCTTTCTTCTTCTTCTTCTTCTTCTTCTCCAGGTGTCAACAGAGGATCTTCTGCCTCACCAATCTTCTCTAAAGTCTTTCTCATCTTCGTCGTCTTCATCTTTCTTCTCTGACTTTATCTCCAAACTGCCCCCCCCGCCCCCCCCAGTTGTTGCCCCCCCGGTGAAGATCTCAGCCTCTTCATCTGCTCAGAGCTGCTGTCTCTGAACCCATCTGCCCAGCAGGCGTCACTACTGTCCTTCGTTTTCCTCCTATCCTCACTCAGTGCTAACGACTTAGCGTCTGATGGATGTCGTCGTGGTTCTTGTTTTTTGTTTTGTTTTTTTATACGCAGGCGATCCGCGTCTCGGTCCACCCTCTGTACTTCATGATCCCGGCCTCCGTGGCGTGTTCGTACGCCTTCATGCTGCCGGTGTCCACGCCCCCCAACTCCATCGCCTTCGCGTCGGGACACTTGATGGTCAAAGACATGGTAAAGTAGCGACAACAACGACCGTCAGAACAACTGTATCACACACACACCTTACACCAACTGTGTGTGTGTGTGTGTGTCCCCCTACAGGTGAAGACCGGTTTTGTCATGAACATCCTGGGGGTGCTCTCTATCTCCCTGGCCATGAACACATGGGGGGTCGCCATGTTTGACCTCAACACATATCCAGAGTGGGCCCTCCCCATCAACAAGACAGCGCCCCCTGTCCATCCACTGAATGCTACCATCTGATGTGGGGGGGGGGGGGCCCCCCGCGGGGAAATTTTTGTACAACGGAAACTCC